GGCAGGAGACTCTGAGTTGTTTCCAGCCCTGAGCCATTGTGACCCCACCCCACCCCAAAAGCCAAAGGAGTGACCCTATCTGAGCTATACAGTTGAGTGGCAAACTCCCAGTCTGTACTAAAGACAACTACAAAGGAAATTAAAGTATAGTTAGAAATAAAGACGCACAAAATGGCTGGAGAGATGACTGCGGCCAAGAGCATTTGCTGCTCTTACAAAGGACCTGGGTTCAGTACCCAGCATCCATATGGTGGCTCACAAGTATCTGTAGCTTCAGAGTATCAGGGGTGCGATATCCTCTTCTGACCTCCAGGGGTATCTGCATACACCCAGGCACACGTGCATACACATACAATCAAGTACAGGTTTAGAAAAGGTGCAAAGAAAATTAAAATGAAAATGTGTCAATCAGTGCATTCTCTGAAATGGAAGCACTTAATTGTGGCCTTGAGTTTTCACTTGGCTTGGCTTTCCTCTGATTTCATCCATGTGTTCATTTCTTGCATTTATGGACCCCAAATGATAAAAGTTTGGGCACTGCTGAGGGGATTAGAATGTTTCTGAAATCCTGGGTTAGCACTCACTGCATTTACTCTCTGAATTCCCTAGGATGCAGTGTGAAATCCAGTCTGAGAGCAGAGATGGATTCTCAACAGCTGATTGCCAGTAATTGATTTTTCTCAAAGCTGCTATGAGGTGCACCCAAGCGTGGGTCATTGCCTGCTCTGCCTAGTTGTAGTGAACAGCCCACAGATAGAGACCTTTAATAGGTAAGCTGTATGTTCATTTAATTCCATGGTACCTAATTAAAATCTTCCCTTCTGTGCATAAGCCAATATTGTTTAAAATTGTGGGTCAGTAGGAATCTCTTGCAATACTGCTTTAGATGTGAGAATTTTTTTTTTTTAACTATGACATGTTAGTTTGGGGCTTGGATGAGGTCAGAAATCTGCAGTGCACTAATCACACCTTGGAGAGAATAACTCTCCATGTTTGATAGGTGTGACTGCCATAGAGAAATCCCCAAACAGTGAGCGCTTAGTTGAGTTGGATGTTTACTGCTGTTGTTCTCTTTGAACGAGCTTAAAGCTGTGATGCAAGTGCTCTGCTTGTACTTCGTGCACCTTACTCTCATGCCTTTCAATCCGTCATCAGCAGTAGAACTCCATGGAATCAGCCGCACTGGGAACAGGTTGAAGGCCCTTTGTCTTCCTTCCTGAACCTTCTGAAGTAGGACCTTCATTTTAAGAAGATTCTGGGGTTGGAGAAACCCTAATCTAGCAGATTCTGAGGCCAAATGTGACTTTGCAGCTTGCTTTTAATGATCTTTTATAATCCAAAAGGATGGAAGATTTTACTGACAAGAGGGAAAGTTATTAATGGTAGAGGCATCTCTGATTGTAGAATACACTGTCTACACATGATGCCTGATCAATCAGAAGGCAGTTGCTTGCTATGTGATCTTAGGCACCAGTGCCTGCTGTTGTAAGACAGATCTGGGTCTAATGCTGGACACACATGTAGATGTCCCAAAAAAATGGAACAAGGGGAAGAATCTGCTAATCACTTCATGAGTTGTAACCATCCTTGGAGTTTAAGATTATGGCTCCTCTCCTCCATGGAGGAAGAGTTTTCATCTACTTGGGTTCTGCTGCTTGAGTCAATGTCAGGTACTTGATATTTAGCATGTGTAAACGCACGCACACACACCTTTTATATACCAGTAATTTTGTATCATTGATATTTTGATACTAAAGCTGCAAGACTCTGTCTCGTATGTTTTGGATCACTTTTGCAGAGGAGGAAAAAGTTAATATACATATAACTAAGCATGTATATTAAAATAATAATAGTCCTACAGTAAAAAAAATCTACAGGTTTTCATTCTTTCCAGCATTGTCTCAAATTGTCAAAATTAATTCTGAGATTCCAATGGTTTCTTTAGTGCTGACCCATCAGCATATCTGCTGACATAAAGGTGTCCATATAAAATGATTCTATACTTTTTAAATGAGGTGTTATATCTTCAGTGTTATTTAATTTATATGTAATAACTTGGACTTTTTTGATTCTCTTGATAACTTTATACACATGCCATTTTCCCACTTTAAGGGTAATTATAGATATGTTAATCAAATATGCACCAAAGACACATAAAATTTAATTCCCACCATCATGACTGTATTCAAGACATCAATATGCCAATTTAGTTTTGGCAATATTTCTAGTCAATGTTTTAAAGTGTAATTTTCCTTTATTCTCTTCACAAGTGGTCTCTAACTGTCCTAGAGATGGCAGTATTGAGCAATTTATTTTGGTAATCAGTTGCTTGCCCAGTCTGAATCTCCTTGTTAGGTGTAAATTTTTCATAGAGAGCATTTCATTGCAATACACAAGGCTAATTTAGCATAAGGTGACAGGGTAGTATCTCTTCAGCATGACTTCACTCAGATTCCACAAAACCCTCCTTTCCTCTTCTGTATATTCTCATGAATCAAATTTGAATTTGCATTTCCAGAGTTATAGTAATTTATGAATTAAAAAAGTACAAAACTGAACTTCTTGTATTACAATCTAAATATTAACTTCTTAAAGATTGGCAGTAAAACTCTAGTGTGTGTGTGTGTGTGTGTGTGTGTGTGTGTGTGTTACTGGGGATCCAACCCAGGTCTTTGGACACTTCAAGGTAGTTGTTCTGTTTTATTTTCAGCCATAATAACAATTACTTTCATATCACCAAAGCCCTAACCTTTGGGGATGATGACTTGTAAAAATTTTCCAAAATAAATTGCTCTTTCGGTTGTCCCCTCCTTTGAGAAAGTAGTATGTTTTCCTCATAGAGGTACAACCCCCCCCTCTCTATTTTTGTTTGATCTTGGTTGGGGATGGAGGGCAGGAAAGAAGTAATTTTAAAAACGAAAGTCTACGGAATTGAACTGCTTTACTGCAAAACGCGAACCACAGGCCCCCTCCTATAAAAGGCCTTTTGGCCTAATCTAGATCTTGCTGTAAAACAGCTGTTTATTATGTTTCTTTTTTGTTTCATTGGTGGGTGGGTGGGGCTTGGGCAAACCGCCCATGGTAACTCTGTTACACTAACTTCAGGCATCTCTACTTCACATCCTTCCCTCCCCCTTCAAACCTTCAGAATCCGATTCCTGCTATTGCTGCCTCGGTACCACTTCCAAATTACTTGCTATTTATAGCCTTGCGGTAGTGGGCACGTGTGCCCGCATCACCAAGCTGTCAGAGGGAGAAAGGGAGGACTTTCAATTCAACATGTGTACCCAGATAATACATTAGCCAGGTTGAGAAGAACCTGTGTGGTGAAGGACAGAGTGCAAAGAGAAACCGGAGGCTCCCAGGCTTTCGTGAGGAGGCGGCATCTGCAGATGCGGGATATCCCAAATCAATTACCACAAGCCTCTGAATGGCGCCGGCACCTACGTCGGTACCCTCACCCTCTCTCCCCTCTACTGCATCTGTGCAAGACGGGAAGGACAGGCAGCTCCACCAATCAGCAGGCTGCCCCAAGAAACTCACCCCGCCTTTCGCCCCACATTAGGCTAAGGCGCGCTACCCCCGCCCTTGACTCCCCTCCCCTGTCCCCCCCCCCCGATCCCCCCTTCCACACTTCAGGCCAGGCGGTCTAGTGGATTGAGCATGCCCAGAACCTTTACTGCTGCGTCTCCCTGTGAACATTCTGCAGTACCAGAGAGCTGGAGGCTGAGAGGGTTCCTGGCGGGGAGTAAAAAAAAAAAAAATAAAAGAGATGGAACCCATAACCGCCCAGGGCTAATGTGGGGTGGCTTTAAGCAAGGGACCAACGTCACCTTTGTAGGTCTTTCATGCCAGTTGGGCAAGACAGGGACACATTCTGCTTGATTTATAGGTCACTTTAAAAAATAAAATAAAAACTTTGGGGAGTGTCTGTTTATGGCGAGACCGACTAACAGGCTTTGCAACTAGGCTGCTGACCCGTTTTCATCAAGAAGTACCCATTTTCCTGTACAACCTAACAGTTTATCCTTGTGGTCAAGGTTAAAAATTTATTGGGTCGTCCACTGCGCGTGGAAACTATGAAGCAAACATTTGGTAATATGTACACAGTTACGATTGTAACTTAGGAACTCTTTGAACGTCATTTTTTTTTAAATGCAGATAGACTTGAGAACATGTTAAGGGGTGTCAGGTTTCTTTCACCCCCATCCTTTGCCCTAATCCATAAGTATTAACTCCAGTTCAACTGCACGAAGGGAATGGAATTGTGACATTTACATTTTATTTCTTCCCTAACTGATCAGTTGCTAATCTCAATAGTGCCAGGCGTGAGATCCCCGGTCTTGATTCCGAGAGACCCTAAACCAGCAACAGCCGTTGTCCTTGGGCATCCCTCTGTGTTCCTTCCAGGTGCTTCACCGCTGCACATCCGGAGATTCCAGGTGGAAGGCTGGCCTAGAAGTCCTTTAGAAAACCTTACAAAAATGTGGCTCTCCCCAGGGCTCTTACCTAGAAACCAACATCCAGCTGACTCTCAGGGGTCGCTTTTACCTGTGTGAGAGACTGCGGGTCATCGGGATCCCCTCCTCCCCAGCCTTCCCACTCGGGGCTCTGTAGCCGCAGTGCACCCCCCCCAACTGCCCCCACCCTCACTCCTGCGTCTTCCCCAGATCGCCCCCTCCTGTTTTCCCAGACTCCCCTCTTGCTTTCCGGTAGCCACCCAAACACGCCCGCCCTCCCACCGCGGGGATTCCTGCGAGCCGGGGGCGCCATGGGTGGCGCGGGCAAAGGAGACGCAGCGCCCAGGGCTCTAGCGGCCACGCAGGGGCGCTGCCTGAGCGCTGCAGCAAAGGCCGGGCGCGGGCGCCTCTGCAGCACGGCCAGGGGGTGGAGAGGGGCGGGCGCGGGGCGGGCTCGGCCGGGAATGTAGAACGAGAAGAGAGAGGGAGAGACCCTGCCTGGAGCCTCCCGGCCGCTGCCCGATTGCAGAGAGCTGAGGCTCCGTCACGTGTTTTGCTCCTCGGGAGTGAGACCGCGGCGCGGTCAGAGGGGGCCGGCGCGCGGTGCCAGACGCCGCCGCCGCTTGTTTTGGTTGGGGCTCTCGGCAACTCTCCGAGGAAGAGGAGGAGGAGGAGGAGGGAGAAGTAACTGCGGCGGCTGCGCCTCCGGAGGATCGGGCGTCTTCTCCCCCTTCACCCCCCATCTCTTCCCAAACCTCCCTCCCCGCCGCCTCCCCCTCCCGTCCCTTTCCCTCCTCCCTCGCGGACTGGAGCTTGGGGCAGGGATGAGTCTGTCCCTCTGGACCGTCCCCTGCTCCCCTGGCTGCCCAGTAGCGTTGCGCGTGGAAAAGCCACTTTCCCCGCCCGCCGAGATGGGCTCGAGTGCGGGCTGCAGAGGACGCGTCCTCGGGTGGCGGCAGCAGCAGCAACAGCCGCAGCGCCGCGGTCTCTGCGATTGAGCTGGTATTTGGGCGGCTGGTGGCGGCGGGGACGGTTGGAGGGTGGGAGGAGGCGGAGGAGGAGGAGAAGGAGGAGGGAGAACCCCGTGCAACGTTGGGACTTGGCAGCCCGCCTCCCCCTGCCCAAGGATATTTAATTTGCCTCGGGAATCGCTACTTCCAGAGGGGAACTCGAGAGGGAAGGCGCGCGCGCCTGAAGGGCCAAGCTGGGACTCCTCGGTCGCTGCTGCCTCCCTGCACCGGACTCGATCAGGGGCGGCGAGGGATGCATCTTAGCTTCTTCTGGGCTGCGGAGACTCGGGGGAGACTTGGTCCTCAGAAGACTGCGGCTGCACTCACCCTAGACACACTGCCTTCCCCTCCGGGCATGAAACGCCCTTAAACTCGGGTCCGGCAATCTTCCTTGGCGCAACTACCTCGCCCTTCGGCTGCCCTTTTTCAGCGCCGGGAACAGCGACGATTTCGGAATCAGGGTTTCTGCTTCCTTCAGCCCCGGAGTGCATGTGCGGGGCCGCATCGCGAATACTCCCCCCACCCAGTTTTTCGGCACCTCCCTCGGCTCCGCAGCAGTATGGCGAGCCCTCCAGATACCGATGGCTTCTCGGACGTGCGCAAGGTGGGTTACCTGCGCAAACCCAAGAGTATGCACAAGCGCTTTTTCGTGCTGCGAGCAGCCAGCGAGACCGGGGGCCCGGCACGCCTGGAGTACTATGAGAACGAGAAGAAGTGGCGGCATAAGTCGAGCGCCCCCAAACGCTCGATCCCCCTCGAGAGCTGTTTCAACATCAACAAGCGGGCTGACTCCAAGAACAAGCACCTGGTGGCTCTCTACACCCGAGACGAACACTTTGCCATTGCGGCAGATAGCGAGGCTGAGCAAGACAGCTGGTACCAGGCGCTTCTGCAGCTGCATAATCGAGCAAAGGCCCACCATGACGGGGCTGGAGGTGGAGGCTGCGGTGGTAGTTGCAGCGGCAGCTCTGGCGTTGGAGAAGCAGGGGAGGACTTGAGCTATGACACTGGACCAGGACCCGCGTTCAAGGAGGTCTGGCAGGTTATCCTGAAACCCAAGGGCCTGGGCCAGACAAAGAACCTGATTGGCATCTATCGTCTCTGCCTGACCAGCAAGACCATCAGCTTTGTGAAGCTGAACTCCGAGGCAGCGGCTGTGGTGCTGCAGCTAATGAACATCAGACGCTGTGGCCACTCAGAGAACTTCTTCTTCATTGAGGTGGGGCGTTCCGCCGTGACGGGGCCCGGCGAGTTCTGGATGCAAGTGGATGACTCCGTGGTAGCCCAGAACATGCACGAGACCATCCTAGAGGCCATGCGGGCCATGAGCGACGAGTTTCGCCCGCGCAGCAAAAGCCAGTCCTCATCCAGTTGCTCCAACCCCATCAGTGTTCCCCTTCGCAGGCACCATCTCAACAATCCTCCACCCAGCCAGGTGGGCCTGACTCGCCGATCTCGCACCGAGAGCATCACTGCAACCTCCCCTGCCAGCATGGTGGGTGGGAAACCAGGTTCCTTCCGGGTGCGCGCCTCTAGCGATGGCGAAGGCACCATGTCCCGTCCAGCATCAGTGGATGGCAGTCCTGTGAGCCCTAGCACCAACAGGACCCACACCCATCGGCATCGAGGAAGCTCCAGGCTTCACCCTCCACTCAACCACAGCCGCTCCATCCCTATGCCTTCTTCCCGCTGCTCGCCTTCAGCCACCAGCCCAGTCAGTTTGTCATCCAGTAGCACTAGTGGCCATGGCTCCACCTCAGACTGTCTCTTCCCGAGGCGCTCCAGTGCTTCGGTGTCCGGTTCTCCTAGTGATGGCGGTTTCATCTCTTCTGATGAGTATGGTTCTAGTCCGTGCGATTTCCGAAGTTCCTTCCGCAGCGTCACCCCAGATTCCCTGGGTCACACCCCACCAGCCAGGGGTGAGGAAGAGCTGAGCAACTACATCTGCATGGGTGGCAAGGGAGCCTCCACCTTGACTGCCCCCAATGGACATTACATTTTGTCTAGGGGTGGTAATGGCCATCGCTACCTCCCAGGTGCTAACTTGGGGACAAGCCCGGCATTGACTGGGGATGAAGCCACCAGCGCAGCAGATCTGGATAACCGGTTTCGGAAGAGAACTCACTCCGCAGGCACGTCCCCTACCATCTCCCATCAGAAGACCCCCTCACAGTCTTCTGTGGCTTCTATTGAGGAGTATACGGAGATGATGCCCGCTGCATACCCACCAGGAGGTGGCAGTGGAGGCCGACTGCCCAGCTACCGGCATTCCGCCTTCGTGCCCACCCACTCCTATCCCGAAGAGGGTCTAGAGATGCACCCCTTGGAGCGTCGCGGGGGCCACCACCGTCCGGACACTTCTACCCTGCACACCGATGACGGCTACATGCCCATGTCTCCAGGGGTGGCTCCAGTGCCCAGCAACCGTAAAGGAAATGGGGACTATATGCCCATGAGCCCCAAAAGTGTATCCGCCCCACAGCAGATCATTAACCCCATCCGACGCCACCCTCAGAGAGTGGACCCCAACGGCTACATGATGATGTCTCCCAGTGGCAGTTGCTCCCCTGACATTGGTGGTGGCTCCAGCAGCAGCAGCAGTGCCGCCCCGTCTGGGAGCAGCTATGGGAAGCCGTGGACAAATGGAGTAGCGGGGCACCATCCTCATGCCCTGCCTCATTCCAAAGCCCCTGCTGAGAGTGGTGGCGGTAAGCTCTTGCCTTGCACAGGCGACTATATGAACATGTCACCCGTGGGAGACTCCAACACCAGCAGCCCCTCGGAATGCTACTACGGTCCCGACAATCCCCAGCACAAACCAGTCCTCTCCTACTACTCATTGCCAAGGTCTTTTAAGCACACCCAGCGCCCTGGGGAGCCAGAGGAGGGTGCCAGGCACCAGCATCTTCGTCTCTCTTCTAGCTCTGGACGCCTTCTCTACGCTGCAACTGCGGAAGATTCTTCCTCTTCTACCAGCAGTGACAGCTTAGGTGGGGGTTACTGTGGGGCTAGGCCAGAGTCTGGCCTCACATATCCCCACCACCATGTCTTGCAACCCCATCTGCCTCGAAAGGTAGACACAGCTGCACAGACCAACAACCGCCTGGCCCGGCCTACAAGGCTGTCCTTGGGAGATCCCAAGGCAAGCACCTTACCGCGGGTTCGGGAGCAGCCGCCGCCGCAGCAGCCTTCGCTACACCCTCCTGAGCCCAAGAGCCCAGGGGAATATGTGAATATTGAATTCGGGAGTGGCCAGCCTGGCTATTTAGCTGGCCCCGCGACTTCCCATAGCTCTCCTTCAGTTCGGTGTCCACCCCAGCTCCACCCAGCTCCCAGAGAAGAGACTGGCTCGGAAGAGTACATGAACATGGACTTGGGGCCAGGCCGGAGGGCAGCCTGGCAGGAGAGTGGTGGCATTGAGTTGGGCAGAGTAGGCCCTGCACCTCCAGGGGCTGCTAACATTTGCAGGCCAACCCGGTCAGTGCCAAGTAGTCGTGGTGACTACATGACCATGCAGATAGGTTGTCCTCGTCAAAGCTATGTGGATACCTCACCAGTGGCTCCAGTCAGCTATGCTGATATGCGGACAGGCCTTGCTGCGGAGAAGGTGAGCCTGCCCAGAGCCGCAGGGGCTGCTCCATCTTCGTCCTCAACAGCTTCTGCTTCTCCTGCTGCACCTCAAGGAGCAGCTGAGCAGGCTGCTCACTCTTCCCTGCTGGGAGGCCCTCAGGGACCTGGGGGCGGGAGTGCATTCACCAGAGTGAATCTCAGTCCCAATCATAACCAGAGTGCCAAAGTGATTCGTGCAGACACTCAAGGCTGCCGGAGGAGACATAGCTCCGAGACCTTCTCAGCACCAACTCGGGCTGGTAACACAGTGTCCTTTGGAGCAGGGGCTGCAGGAGCGGGCAGTGGTGGCGGTGGCGGCAGTAGCAGCGAGGATGTAAAACGCCACAGCTCTGCATCTTTTGAGAATGTGTGGCTGAGACCTGGGGATCTAGGGGGAGCCTCCAAGGAAACAGCTCAAGCGTGTGGAGCTGCTGGGGGTTTGGAGAATAGTCTTAACTACATAGACCTGGATTTGGCCAAGGACGTGAAACAGCGTCCTCAGGAGTGCCCTTCTCAACAGCAGCCCCTACCACCCCCTCCCTCTCACCAGCCCTCAGGCAGCAATGAGGGCAGCTCCCCCAGACGCTCCAGTGAGGATTTAAGCACCTATGCCAGCATCAGCTTCCAGAAGCAGCCAGAGGACCGTCAGTAGCTCAACTGGACATCACAACAGGTGTGTTTTATGGTGACAAGGTCAGACGACACAAGTGCACTTATTTACGTGGGGGCTTGAATTCTGCTCTCTCCCTCTGTCCCTTTTCACTCCTTCCCTCAGTGTCCTTGGGGAGGATACACTTTCAGGGAGTGGGGTCATTGAGTCAGGGTACACAGATGCTCACACCACGATGACACCTGGCAGGTAGTCCAAGAAACGCGTTGGAGCAGCCACAGAAGGGCTTCTGTAGCACTTAAGAACTAGCGTTATTTAACACCTGTCCTGAGGTTTGTCAAGGATCATTTTCTTCATATCAGAGTTTTCTTTTGACTTCAGGCCAGCCCTTCATAGGGACAGTTCTACAAAACTACTTGCTAACACGCAGCCTAAAATGGCCTCATTTAAGATCCTAAGTGCTGAAGGGCTCTGCGTGCACTCGTGTTCTGTGATTTCACAATACCAAGGCAGTGTAAACAGCAGCGACTTTTACTCAGACTGTCTTAAAAAAAGATTCCTGAGTAAGAGCTTTTTAGGCACACGTATTTAGAGAGGAATTCTTACCTATCTCAGATCTCCAAGGAATGTAATTGTGGGGGACATTTTCTTTTTGTTCTTGTAGTAGGATTCATGAAATGTTTTTCACACACAGACCTACCATCTTGCAGGCATGGCTGCTTTTCTACAGAATATACAATAAACACCACGTGCCTGGGACCCATTCTGAGTTAAGAGTCGTGGAAGTTCACCCCAGCCTTTCTGCCTTGCGGTTCCTTTTCTTGTACTGAAGCATCATGCATACTGTTTGGAGGCTACTGTATGTTTCTCTATAAGATTGCTTAATGCTTTTTTTTTTACTGAAATGAACAGGCATCAAGTCAGGGAGAAGAGGGTGTTTGTTTTGGTTTGCACTGAATGGAGGGGGAATCTGTGTGGTCTTCATTTATAGGCTATTTGTTTTCCTGTTAGTTCATGAATCGATGCCTCAGAGATGTTGAAAGTTGGCTTTAGGTCATCTGTGGCCAAGGCTGTATTGAAAATGAGCAACATTTGTAATAGGAAATTAGCCTGCCCTTCGTTCTGTGAGCCTATTTTCTGGTGGTCATTGTGGGGAGGGGAGTGTCGTTCTCAAATAATATGATGAGTTGGCAAACTCAGAACTTTCCAGAACTGGAAGCGGTTTATCCTGACCAACTGATTACCTTGTGAATTTTATATATGCTTCACAGAAAGAGAATTGAAAAGCATTTATTTTTCTTAACAAGTCTCTATTCATAATAAATTAATTTGTGCCTTGGGTTTTTATCAATAGGAAATAATAATAAATAGCAGGAACATTATGTGTTCAAAATGGTCCTGATTCTGCTTCCAACAACTATCATTCTCTATTTTGTAGGGCGAAATAGAGGCACATGAACATTAAAACTAAGATTTTTCTGTGATGTAAAGAAAGCACTTATTTGGTGTTTAAATCAATATTTGCTTTAATCACTGGGGCAGAGAGATTTTTAGTGTATTGTTGTCGACATAATATTCCTGGTTATTTCTAGCATGATTTTTGAGAGTTGGGACTCCTGCAATACTTGCTTTGTAAACTGCTTACAAAGAGTAAGAAGAGTCAGAAGCAAACAGATCCAGCAAAGCTCAAATTTAGGGTTTACAGGAGATAAAGAAAGAAGATCCCCGCCCCCCCCCATTTGCTTTCTTGCTTTGTATAGATTTTGTTTTACAAAATTGATTTAAAAAAAATGTTTGGTCTTTTGAAGAAACAAACAAAATGACCAAACAGAATCTTCATTGTTTAAAAAGAAATTTAAAAGAAAATCCTGCTTATGTGGAAAACACACACACACACACACACACACACACACACACAAATCCCTCCCTCCCTTTCCGAGACTTTAATGCTCAACCTTCCATTCTTAACTGCTTTAGGGAAAATATGATAATACAAAATAATCAGTCGTGTCAGTTACAATGCTGGAATAGCAAGAGATCATACTTTCCCAAATACCAGAAGTCTTCTAAAATGTGTTATTTAAGTTGTGTGTGTGTACGTGCGCACGCGTAGTGTGTTTTTTAAGCAGAGCACCTAGTGCTACCTGGTGCTTGTACACCCTCAATTGTGCTTGCTTTTGCTAAGTTTAAAGGTTTTATTTGCTAGTCAATTATCATCAGAAGCTGAGCGCAATCAGATCTCTGCCAGTGGCAAACAGCTTCTGCTCACAGTGACTTATCAGTTAGCTATTTTAACCTCCCCTACCTTTGCTGTGGCTGCTACTTCCCCTGCTTCAGGAAAAACATGCTTAAAGGAATTCAGCTGCCACGAGTGTGTGTGTGTGTGTGTGTGTGTGTGTGCGCGCGCGTGTGTTTGTGCAAGCTCGCGCACTTTCCGAGCACCTCTTTTAAACAACTCAGCTTGTTTACTTTGTTTCAATGTCAGTTCAAGGAGAGCCATTTGTGAAACCCGTTGCTCCCGTGCTCAGGACTTGACTGATTCAACAACAATCTTTTCTGTGTCTCTTTTCTTTGGTGCATGTCAGGGTAACCTCTAACTTAAGTTCTGAACTGCTAGATTGTGCTATGGAAAGATCACCCCCTCTTCCCCCATTCCCTTTGTCCCCATGTCCTAGTGCATGGTCCTGGCATTAGTACAGTCATTGTGGCCTACTGTCTGTACCGGGTTAACCCAGAGCCCAGAGAGGAGTGCTAAAAGAACCCTCTGGGCCTCGGCACGATGGTCCCAATACCAGTAACCAGCGTTTGCCTTAGATTGGACTTTACTGATGAAACTGTAGCCTGGTAGCCAGAGCACACGTTTGCGGACACAGACCGGAGCCATCCCTCCGGGGTTCCTTTCTTTTTTCTTTTCATTTTTTTTTTCTTTTTTGGTCATCCTTTTGTTAAGCACCCCCCCCCCCCTTGAGAATTTTGGCATTCCTTTCCGTCCCTGTTTTTCCTTACTGAGACCCTGAGACCTCCAGGATTCCACGCCTCCACAGCTGCCTCTCTTTACCCCCTCCCTCGAAGCTCCCCACCCATGGCCTTTGGAGTTGGCGCAGACCCGCGGGGCCCTGGCACTTTCCCTTTTCCCGGGTCACCTCCACTTCCTGCCTGCACCTCCCCTTTGCTTGGCTCTTGTCCCCCTTCTCCAAACCCCCCGCTTCCGCCCGGGGTGTGAGAGAGAGGGCCGCTAGGAGGTCCTCCAGGCTCCCGCCCCCGCCTGGATCCGTCCTCGCGTCCTCGCGGGACACAGGGCCCCTTCCCGGGCCTCGAGGTTGGAGGTGGCAGCCGAGCCCCCGCCTCTCAGACCGGCGGGTCGGATGTCGGGTGCCGATTGGCCCTTGCAAGAGCCAATCAGCATGAGTGATGGCCGGGCGGGGGCGGGAGGAGGTAGGCTGGGGCCAAGCTGGGGAAGCTCTCTCACCCCTGTGGGTGCTTCCGAGCTGATTCAGGTCCTCCTGTCCCCAAGCCTAGGATGCGATGCTCTCCGTGTCTAATGCGTCTCTATCAGGGTCCTAAGAATGAAAAAGGCACAGCAGCGGGCTGACAGAGGCCGGAAGCGCCTCACTTCCTCCTCTTTTTAATTGAGAAAAATTCAGGCCGCGACCATGTGACATGCCCCATTTTGTTTTCCCTCCTGTCTTTACTATGGTTTACTACGACGCTGTTCCTTCATCTTCTCATCTCTGGTGTGCAAACAGGAGCTGGCGGCAGACGGCACGTGGTGTGGGATTGATTGGGCTGGCTCACGTTGTCTCTCACGTTTACCTCTGTTGCTAAAAGGGAGGAGGAGGCACAACCCTTGCTTTGGGGTCATTCTAAGAATAACTGTTAACTCTGAGCCACCTCTTCAGCCCCTTCCAGAGGTCCTGAGTTCAATTCCTAGCAACCATATGGTGGCTCACAACCGTGTGTAATTCGATCCGGTTCCCTCTTCTGGCACGTAGATAGAATACTGTGTACATAATAAATAAGTTTAAAAAGAAAAAAGAAAAGCTCCTTTGCCTTGAAAGAGTCCGAGGCTCTTTCCAGTAACTAACCGTATACACTTTATTGAGCACCTGCAGTTTACAAAGCAACGGAGTTAGATAAGATCAAGGAAAGCTGATCCTCCCCACCCCTCTTGTGAGGGAACCCAGAGAGCAGGGAAACCTTAGGCTATTGCTTGCTTGGACACTGTGTCTGCGGATTCTTTAGGAACTCTTGAGAGCAGAGTGTGTTCCTTTCCCAAGATTTTGAGGTCAAGTGGATGCGTTTTCCAAACATTTGGTCAGTGACAACCCACCAGGGCACTCCGAGTTGATGGTTAAGGCTTGTTCTAGTTGTACCGTGACCTCATGACAAAACTTCTTGTGATGTATTGCTGTAGGGATAGGAAGGGCACTAAAGAGAGAAAACTATGCGGTGTTCGCTGCTTCTCCTACTCTCTGAAGGTTTTCTCAGCATCAGGATCTCCATCACTGACTCCTAAGTCACAGGGGTGGTGCTTTTCTGAGGGGCCCCCGGAAAAAGCACAGGTGGGAATCAATGTAACGGTAGCTCCGTCCTGAAAGAACTCAAGCTTCTTGAGAGCAACAGAAGAGAGATATTGCAGCATCCAAGGTTTTAGCTCCTGCCATTGTTTAGGCCTCCTATGTTTTTAAAAATAGATGCCCATGAAATAACCGTCTAGCTGAACAGCCCTAATATTGCCTTACGGGAAAGAACTCGAGCTGTAAACCAGCATGCTACTTTTTAATCTTTTTTTTTCCAGTTTATCAGAATTCCTGGAAAATCAGTTTGTTCTATCTTGAATGATGCAATGGAAAAAAGCTGCTCCAGGGAGTAAGATCTAGCCTCGTGACCTTGATGGAGTCCCTTATTTCCCCTGCTCTATTTCCTCATCAGTAACCGGAGAAGTTGGTTCCACATTGTTCTAACGATCTTTGCAGCTCTAAAGCTAGGGATATTTTGGAGCAAATGACTGATCCTCTTTAATGAGTCATCTGTACTGAGCCTTATTTCTCCAAGAGCTGGAG